CTTCAAAGAAATGATGAGTTATGTTTGTTGAATCTATCTTTCTTACATACCAACTTCCGTTGTATTCTCCCTTTTCTACTCTTGATTACGCTGTTGCCAAATGTCACAAAATGAAACAGATGTGAAAGTTCAGACTAAAGATTCCATTCTATGATTAAATAAATGAAAATATTTTATTTTGCTCTTTTTTAACAAAATATTTTTTTATCTTATATCTTCAATTTTAATTTATTATTATTAATCTTAATTAATAATTTTAATTTTATAGATTTTTATGACAAAAATGTAAAAAAAATTTCTCATAATTGAATAAATTGATAATATAATTAATTCTATTATCTTTTATTATATAAATATATTTTATTGTATATACATTTAAAAAATTTATTTAATATAACTATTGAAATAAATAATTAAATTTTATATAAATAAGAATATTAAGACAAGTACATTGTGAAAAAACAAAGTCATTATAAATTTTCACTATATAATTTAATAAATCAATTAGTAATTTATATAATTTATAAAATAAGTTTTTCTAAATCAAAACATTTAATATTTATCTATTCTAATATCGAAATATTCTATTTATTTTATCTAATTTCTAATTAAAATCTTATAGTTTATATATGAAGATTTTTAAATTTAATAAGATTTTAATAAGATATATATTATAAATTTTTTTGTATATTTATTATACATTTATTATACTTATTTACTATAATAATATACATATATTATTATAGTAAATATAAAATATAAAATAGATGTTTGTAATTTTATTATGAATTCATTCAATTTTAAGATATAATTATTAAAAAATATAAGTTACGCCCTTATCGATACACTTCTTTCTTATGAACATATAGTGTAATGCAATAAGAGAAGTTAAAATATTATAAAAGCGGCAACATTGCACAGGGCGGAGAACAGTATGAGTCTTTATAAATTGAAAGAAGAAAGGAGAAGGAAGGCAGGCAACACGCGCCCACATGCGTGCGCGCGCGCGCATACACACACTATAGATACATAGATACATAGAAGAAGAGGGAGAGTTCTCGGAAGTTCGAAGTTATATGGCATATATAAACTGCCATCATTTCAACGTTATGTAGTGTGAAAGGTTCATGATATGTTATTCACAAATCATAATAGTATTGCAATTGTCTAACAAATTTAGAATTTTCTTCTTCTCTTTTATTTTTTCCAATATAAATAATATGACATATAAACAATGCTCTATAAATGTACAATTGTATATTCAACATGACATTCTTCATACATATACATTCCATATGTTTCATATAAATAACTATATATAACTGAAAATAAATTTAATTTTATTAAATTATTATTATATATATTATTATATTACATTATTTTTATTATAAAAAAAAGATAATTTTATTATAAAATAAAATTATAATTATGAATGATATTAATAATGGAAAGAGAAATTATTAACAAAATTCCAATAAAATTTACATAATTGTAAACATAATATTAATAATATAACAATTTGTTCAATATATCATTTAATAATTATTTTATTTTTCTGTAATAGATTTGGATATAATAGATTTGGTAATAGAAATAAGATGACTGGTATTATCAAGCATAGAGATTTTGGAAATGATTCAAACCTCAAAACTTCAACAAATGCACATTTAACATCACCACTTCTTATAACATCTCATATATTGAATGATGAAGTAGATAATATTGATTATCGCTTTGAAGCAGCAAGACTTCAGAGTTTTGAAAATTGGCCTATATCATATATAGAACCTGAAAAACTTGCAGCTGCTGGATTTTATTATACGGGTGAAGGTGATAAAGTTAGATGCTTTGAATGTCAAGTTGAGATATGTCAATGGGTAGAAGGTGACATTCCAATGGTTGATCATCAAAGGTGGTCAGCAAGATGTAGATTTATTCGTAAAATAAATTGTGGTAATGTACCAATTGGAGTAGATCCCAACACAATCACTCCACCGCGACCAAGAAGTAGAGATGTATGTGGTCCTTACGGTTTGGAATATCGACTTACATCTGGTCCTGATAATCATAATTTTTCAACTGAATTACAATTACCAAGCACTGCTAAACTTAGTCGTTTAGGATTGACAAGGCCTAAGGGACCTGTATATCCTGAATATGCCAGTTATGATGCTAGACTAAACACATTTTCAACATGGCCAAAATCTATGCCACAAACAAAAGAACAATTAGCAGATGCAGGTTTTTATTATACAGGAAAAGGTGATCAAACTATATGTTATCATTGTGGATGTGGTTTAAAAGATTGGGAACCAGAAGATAATCCTTGGGAACAACATGCAAAGTGGTTTTCTAAGTGTTATTATTTATTAACAGTTAAAGGACAAGATTATGTGAATAAAATAACAGGCCAGCATGTATCTCCACCTTCAAAAGAAGTAAAAATATAAACATATTTTATATTACATGCATAATTAATAATTTATTTATTGTTTATTCAATTATTTATGTGACATTATAATTATTTCAGGAAACAATACAAATGAATTTACCTAGTTATATTACAAAAATACAACCTGCAAATGTAGAAACAGAAAGGAAAGAAGGCACAGATAGCAATCCAGGATCAAGTTCTCAAGATAGTGATGTAGAAAATGTTGCAAGCAATATAGAATCTGTAAAAGGAAGTGCAGAAAATTTATCAAATACAAAAATACAAAATAGTAAATCTACAGATGATGCAAGAATGTGTAAAATTTGTTATAATGGAGAATTAGGAGTAGTATTTTTACCATGTGGACATATGGTTGCGTGTGTAAAATGTGCTCCTGGTATGATATCCTGTGCAGTATGCAGAGAACCTGTTACAATGACTGTACGAGCCTTTTTCTCATAGTATTCCATATATATCAATAGTATTTTAATAATTATAGATAAAAATTCATTGCATATGTAGCTAATATTTATGATGATTCTTTGCATTTTATATTTAATTATTTTTGACAATCAATATTTTAATATTAAAGATTTATAATCCGTCCAACGAATCGATTCAGTATTGATAAATAAAACATTTGAATGTAAAACATGTGATGAATATGTGACTTTAATTGATTGCATTCAATTATTGATTGGCAAGTATGAGACTATTGATATTTAAAAAAAATCTTATATCAAAATAAAAAATTCTTAATTGTTTAAGATTTATTTTGTATTTTTATTTATTACATTGTTTACAGTTATAATTAGTTATATTTATATTGAAAATGAATAATGACATAACATAATAAATTATTGTACAGAAAAATAATTTTATTTCAAATTGAAAATATGAATTCATTACTGATTTGATTCATTGGGTAATTAAATATAAATACATTAATTTTGATTGATTACTCAAGTAAAATTTGTACAAAGATTTCAATTTAAATATTTAATTCTAATTGATATAATAATAAATGTTTTGAATTAAAAGAATTCAAATTATTAAATAATTAAAATATCTAATTTTTTAAATGCATAAATTATTTAAAATTAAAATTAAATATTTAAATTGAAATCCTTGTAAAAGTTCCAATTAATCAAAATAAAATAATTGATCAAAAAGACTTTATACTTATCCATCATTTATTCTATTAAGTTTAAACTCATTATCTCATTATATTGTATAATACATATTAAAAATTTAATTTTCAAATTTTTAAATTATATGATTTATTTATCATCATAATTTTATAATTGAAAATTATTTAATTTATATTATAAATAATTATACATTTGATAAATATTTGAAGATTTTATAATACTAATAGAATAAAATAAAATAGAATATATAAATTTTGCAATGAATACATTTATATTATTGATTTGAATATTCTTAAATTTTTCTTTTAATACATAAATTTGTTAAAAATAATTAAAAATAAAATGTAAAATAATAAATCATCAAAAATATTATGTTCTATATTATATTCAATGGATTTTTATCTATAATTGTTGCATTTATTTCCATTAAAATTTCCATTTTATGCGTTAAATAAAATAAATAATTTATGTGAACATAAAAAATGGAACAAAAATTAGCTCATGTAAAAAATGATTTTGTTATTTAAAATATAATTATGAATAACAGTACAAACAGATTTATTAATATTTCCAAATTTTTAATTACTATTGTTATTTATTCAAATAAATTTTTATTTCATGTGCATTCAAATATTAAATAAATAGTTTATTTGTTTATTTCATGAAAATCATTAATCATGTAAAATTAAGTTTTATGTAAAATTGTATTTTAAAATAATTTTCATATCTTTATTATTAATTTTCTATTTATTACAATGATATATATACATATATATAAATTTTACTTAACTTTTTTGGTTGTTCCTTTAACACAGTTGTATGTATGTTTACATTATTTGTATAAATTATCAAAATCTTAAATGTTTTTATAATATATCGAAAATTTAAAATTTACTAATATACGTATATATTAGAAATATACATATATAATGTTTGTAATGACAATATTAATAAAAAATACATTATCTTTATTGCTTTTAAATAACCTTTAAATATAATCCATTACCAAAATTTTTAATAAAAAATACATTATTTTTATTGCTTTTAAATAACTTTTAAATATAATCCATTATCAAAATTTAATAATCAATAAAAATTCTTTTAAATTTAATTATATTTAATTTTTATCTACATATTTTTAAATTTATATAAAATTAGATGCATATTACGCTTAATTTTTTTTTATTTAGTATTACATGCTTGATATTTCTATCCAATATACATGTATATATAAGCATATATCATAAAATTTTTAATTCTTCAAATCAAAATTATATATATATAATATATAAAATTTTAACATTAACAAAAAAATACATAACATTAATAAAAATAGTAATTTATATTTTGATATAATATACTTTTTTATTAAGAATATGCGCAATTAATTAAATATTTTTAAAATAATTTTAGTTAGATGGCGCTGTTATCGGAAATTAAAATGGCAACTGGTTCAATACAATAGTACGACACGATAGAATATAATAGATGATTATATTTTACATTTATACAATTTTTAATATTTGTGTTCTTTGTAATTTATTATGATGAATTATTAGCAATGGGAGACCTATTTGATATTGCAAATTTAATTACAACTGTTGGTGTTGATAGAATAAAAATTAAACCGGAACCTGGATTACCAGAAAAATCCTCAAATGAAATATTAACAGAATTGTTTAGCACATTTGACGCGGAAGAGGAAATAATATCCTTAGAAAATACTGACCAACAAGTCCCAAATGCAAGCGTTAAAATTGAAAAGTCTATTAAATCTCAAATTAAAAAAAAGAAAGCTAAAAAGAAACATAAACATAAGGATAAAAAACATAAAAAAAAGTCAAAACGAAATTCATCTGAGAGTAACAGTGATCTTGAAAGTATATTATTTTTATTGATAATTAGAAAAAATAGGTAAGTATATATTACTTATAATTAAATATTATTGTTTTTATAATTGATAGATATTAAAAAGAAAAAAAAGCATAAAAAGAAGACAAAACGAAAACATGAAGATGATTCAAGTAAATCATCAGATTCAGATGAACCCAAAAATAAAATTTCAAAATTTAGTACGTGCAACAATATGAAAAAGAAAAATTATAATAAAAATAATGGATCAGAACAACAAAATATAAATCAATCAGAAAATTTTGAAAAATTAATGATTAAAAAAAATTCAGAATTAGAAAATATATTTGAAAAAGAACCTGATAGTCCTCAATTACCACCCATTTCTAAGAAAATGCAAGATGAGCCTGAAGAGCAATTAATATCTAAAGTTCTTGGTTTGTATTGTTTTTTAAAAAAATTGAAATATATTTTTGACTTAAAATATTTTTTTTACATACAGAAAAACCAAAGCAAGGATATCAAGGAAAAATATTAATAAAAGATCTTAAAAATAGCATAGTTTATAATGATACAGTTAGAGAAATAGAAATTAAAGAAAAAGAAAAAGCAGCAAGAATGGAAGATGGTGAATTATCTGATAGTAGTACAGATAATAAAACTCCAACATTAAGTCCTAGTCCAATTCGATGTATCTCTCTCAGATCATTGACTTTAAGTCCAACTTTGGAGAATATAGAAAATAGAGTATTAAGTCCTTTAAAAGGTGAAGTAACAGCAAAAAATGATTTAAGATTAATTTTGAGAGAAAAAGAAAAGAAAAGATTAGAAGATGTGGATAAAAGGGAAGGAATAGAAAAATCAAAATTATATATGGATAATGAATATAAAGAAAAAACATATAATTATAATAATAAAGTTACAACAAGCAAAAGTAACAAACATAATCATAATTGTCATTCACAAGAAAGAAAAAGATCTGAATCTCATACATGTATGAATTTACGTAGAAGTAGAAGCAGAGAAAAAGATAAACGAAGAGATAAAAGTAAAGACAGATATAATAAAAGTCGAAGTAGCGATCGACGAGAATCTTCGAAATGTAAGGAACGACGAAGATATAGAAGTCGCAGTGATGATAGAAGCAAGGATAAATATATACGTGGACGAAGTAGAAGTAGAGAACGAAAGTTAGTATTATTTTATAATATATATATATATTATAAATTTATAATAAATTTTATATTTTATATTTTAAGGGAACGAATAGAAATTGATAAAAAGAAATTATTGGAAATAGCAAGAAAAAATGCAATAAACATGATTAAACAAGGAACATTACCATTAGTACAACAAGATAAAGCTATTGCTGCAATACAAGCTGGAGGAAAAACAGTAGATGAACTCACAGGTACAAATTTAATTTAATTACTAGCTATAAAATATTAATTATTTATTAATAAGCAATATGTTTTTTTATTTCAGATTTTTGTAAATCATTATCAAAATCTGAAGCTTTAGGAGAACTTTCAAGTATTTCTTCAGAAGAAGATGGAAGTGAATCTGAAAAAGGTTTTCATCATCCCTTTTTACTTAAAGGACGACCTAATTCTATTATTATGAATATTAAGGTACGTTAATATTTTGAATATTTTGATTATTTTTGGAAGTGCATTATATTATATTATTTTGACATACAGATTGAATAAAATTATATATACAAATTTTTTATGCATTTATGCATTTATAATATAGCTGCTAAAAAAGTTAATATAATATATACATTAATAATTTATTTATAAAAAACAGGATGCAAAACAATTGCCTACTAAGACATTCCAAGAAAAAACAGTAGAATCATCAAATCAATTACGTTTACAATTTCCTGTATCAAGTGGTCAGCATCATAGGAAAAGTGGTACTACTGTTTTTATTATTATTATTATTATTATTATTATTATATATATATTATAGATGAAATATTTATTTAATTAGTGTTATTATTAAAAATTTTATTTGTCTACAGAAAATGAATGGATACCAGTTACTCCAAAGAAATCAGAAACAAAAAAACAGTTTATATCAACTTCTGAATCAATTGAATCTTTTCCTATGATACCTTCAACTACTTCTACAGTTCCAGTGCAATCAATAGTTTTTTCTCAACCAATAGCAGCAGAGGTATAG